TTTAGAAATATGAACTGATAACTAATTCATTAAAATAACACTAAAACTCACGTTCTGGTTTTGTGTATGCTGCATCTATATTTCCAACCACATAGAACATAAAACATATTATAGATAACATACTAATATGTTTAAACATGTTTGCAGGTTCCAACAATAAATAAGTGATAAGCCAAAGTTGAAAAAGATTAAATAAGACTATTAATAGAAGTTGTTCAACGACGGTTTTTAAAGGGTTATTGTGGGTCACGCATGTGTATGTATTTAAATAACTTTGTAAGCCATCTGGGAAAATAGTAGTTGGTAAATAATGTTGGTTTTTTTTACATAAAATGTACTGTACAAAGGTGTAAAAAACTCAAAAAGTTTATGTATCAAACTCTATCTTAATATGAGCATTTTTCAAAAGTTCCTAAAATACTTCATTATAATTATTTGTGTAATATCGTGTTATCCTGAAGCAATCTTAATAATATGTCAAATATCAATATCTGTGCTAAAGAAAGAGACAATCTGCCTTTCGTCGAATGTCTTTATTTTATATAGCTATCAGTAACAATTAGTATTCGATATTTTTTTAGGTACTATTGAATAATGATTTGATTTAATGTAAAATGTGATGTATTAAATGAGAGTAACTCAGAGGTCATATATTTTTGTCCGAGATGTTATTTTACGTACAAGTTGTATCCGAGACAATGAGTATAAAAATAAAACATTTTAGAACGGACCTGGCTTATTTCAACAAAAAAATTTATTTTGTGGTTGAAATGAAGTTCTTATGGATGGTTTTTTATTGACTTTAATTAAAAAATTATAACTCAGATGTTGCTAATGTAATTGGTAATATGAGCATAATCCTTAATTAATTTTCAACATAATCCCATAAGTTCAATTTTATACATTTTATGCATTTTAACCTACACATTATATTATTATTATATTTGTACCTAAATTCACGATATTTTGGGAAACTATTTACTATCAATGCTTAATAAAAATATATATTTTTTAATTGCTATAACAGCAATAAACTGTATATTATCATAAATGAAACAACTGGAAAATACAGTAAAGCACCAAAAACAGGTGAACAAATATGTGAGTTTTTTTTTTTGGTAGATAAATTGTATAAAGTATTAAAACTCTTGCGCAAAATATATTCATATGTAGCAAATTAAATATGCCTAAATTTTAAACAGATGTATAACAGTTGGTACAAGTGTCCTAAATCCTAATACAATAATTTGAAGAAGTTTTCAAGGTAGGCCGTAATTTTCCGGAAAATAAATGATCCGGATTGATAAAACACCGGAAAATAAAATTCCGGAATGTAAAACCACGGAACGTAATATTCCGGAACGTAAAATCCCGGATCGTAATAATCCGGAATGTAAAACTACGGAACGTAATATCCCGGAACGTAAGTAATCCGGAACGTAAAACCACGGAACGTAATATTCCGGAACGTAAAATCCCGGATCGTTATAATCCGGAATGTAAAACCACGGAACGTAATATTCCGGAACGTAAAATCCCGGATCGTAATATTCCGGAAAGTAAAAATCCGGAAATAAAATAATAACAATGGTTCTCAAAATAGTTGTACCTATTAGTCACTAATGGTCGGTTGTATACAACTTAAGCAATTATTATATTAATGTATATGCTTTTTATAACTTTTTAATTTTTAAGTTAGTATTGCTAACTTGTAGTTATAATTTACAAGCGGTTGTTAGGTTTTTAAATAATTTAAATTAAGATTTTTATATTTTTTAAGCGGGAAATTTATGTTATCATAATTTGTATATCTGTTTCAGCCACAACCGACCGTGGTGTATAGATTAAATAAAATCAAGGTGTATTGATATCACCTTGTATTTGTATCAATTTAGTATACACCTTGATTCTTGAATAAAATCACGGACTAAGATATAATGGACTGTCATCGAAACATATTTTCGGTTGCTGGCAGTTGTCCGAAAAATGATAAGGACCGATAAGAGTGGTTGTACGGTGGTTAACTTGTGGTTACCCTGTGACCAACTTGAGGTGGTGTTGAACAGCAAGTCGGGGGATATTTTCCATAGATATTAAAGAATGGATAGGCCATTTGAGCTTATCATACGGGAACGGACATGAAAATAGTTTGTGGTTATAGAGGTCTAAACAGGGCATCGGGCAGTTGGGTCCCCGAGATAACAGCCGTTATCATCAGCATTATTTATCAGATTTATCTCATGGAATAAACGCTTAAATTGGGGATTTTCGAATTGCGGAAGCGAGGAGCGTAGCGACGAGTGCCGCTAGCATGGCGTCACTGTACTATGTTTTTTCAAATTGGTGGTACTGTAATATGCTGGTATAGCTGGTATGGTATTGTGGTATAAGCTACCTTATCATTTTTCGGACAACTGCCCCCGACTCCGCTTCTGATAACGTCCCGAAATGAGTCGCATGATTAAACCACCATGTAGGCAGCGCTGCGTACGCTAACCCGCGAAGACAACTATTATTCATGTGTTTTGCGTTTTTTGGAAAATATACGCGTCATTTTGAACCATGACACTTTTATAGATTTTATAACTTGACGCTTGTACGATTACGCATTTATACAAGCTATATAGGTACATATCATAAACATTCAACATTCTTAAGACACAAATTTGAGTCAACGATACTTATCGCTAATAGGTAATATAATTTTTATATATTAATATATTATTATGCATGATTCAACAGTAATACAGTAGGTATTATATATACACATTACCGGGACATTAAGCAATCTTTAACCATTAATTTGTCACTCAATACAATATGTAAGATAATATGTAAGCTACACAAAATATTTATCATGTATAAACTTGATTTTTTCAAATCTTCATTAAAACTAAAATCATTTTTTTAAGCACCTAATCACAATTTGTTTTAATATGTTATGTGTATCCGGTAAATATTTTTGTATGAGTAACAGTTTTTACAATTATTTTTACAAATGTGAAATGGGTATACTCAAGTAGGTACCTAGTGTGATCAAACTTTGAAATATCAGATCATAATATTATATACCTACTATTTGAATCTAAAGTATAAAAATATATTATAGAATTGTATAATTACTAATTAGTAAGAATGTAAGATAACACAATATGATATTTTTTTAAGTTGCTGCTATTTCATAGGCATAACTTGGCACCCAGAACTATTTGAAATTCATTCAGATATTTTTGATAAATGTTTTAACTAGATATATTGTTAACATTAAAAATATCTTCCTATTATGTTTAACATGTATTATATTAAACATTAATATAAACTAACACAAAAAATATTTTCAAACAAATTATATTTCTAATAAAACATCAATATTATATTTATACATGTTTTAATGTTTATAAAAAAGAACAAATGCTATAGAGCTAGGCAAACTTTACATAACATATTATAAAAACCAAAATAAAAATTGTTTAGTTCACAATTTACTATTGTATATATAATATAATACAGGTATAGTAGGTACATTTTTTTATGTTGGTGGGAGGAGGGTAAATCATTTGTTTGGAATATATTATTAATTCTATATAATGATAAGATTTTTTAAATGTATTTAAGTAACCGGTGAGTAATATGAATAATGCATATGTAATATGTAGAATATAAATCAAAGAATTTGTGTCAATAGGTAAAAATAATGGGTTTAAAAATAAAAGTCTTTCAATACTTATAGTAGGTATTATTATTAACTGTTTGAACTTTATAAAATTACATTATAATCTTCAAAATTTATAATGAACTCGAAGCGTATAAAAATGGCAACCGAGCAATATGATAGAATAATAAGTAGTTGGCAGTTTTTGGTGAAGTGTTTTTATTCTTGCACATCATACGAAGAACGGCTAAGATGTTGGACATTGAAATCCAAGATATTGGAAATAAAGAAATCATTAATGGAAAAGATTTTATTGCAGAACCACTGCCAGAGCAGTAAGTTAGTACACAATGATATGCAAGAGGAAATAATTTTGACTTGCATTACTTGTACACTATACTATATTACTATAGTAACTGCTGAAAATAATATTTCACGGTATATAGCCTTACCATGTGGACACATATAGGTATATATATATATATGTATCCNGTTATATTAAACATTAATATAAACTAACACAAAAAATATTTTCAAACAAATTATATTTCTAATAAAACATCAATATTATATTTATACATGTTTTAATGTTTATAAAAAAGAACAAATGCTATAGAGCTAGGCAAACTTTACATAACATATTATAAAAACCAAAATAAAAATTGTTTAGTTCACAATTTACTATTGTATATATAATATAATACAGGTATAGTAGGTACATTTTTTTATGTTGGTGGGAGGAGGGTAAATCATTTGTTTGGAATATATTATTAATTCTATATAATGATAAGATTTTTTAAATGTATTTAAGTAACCGGTGAGTAATATGAATAATGCATATGTAATATGTAGAATATAAATCAAAGAATTTGTGTCAATAGGTAAAAATAATGGGTTTAAAAATAAAAGTCTTTCAATACTTATAGTAGGTATTATTATTAACTGTTTGAACTTTATAAAATTACATTATAATCTTCAAAATTTATAATGAACTCGAAGCGTATAAAAATGGCAACCGAGCAATATGATAGAATAATAAGTAGTTGGCAGTTTTTGGTGAAGTGTTTTTATTCTTGCACATCATACGAAGAACGGCTAAGATGTTGGACATTGAAATCCAAGATATTGGAAATAAAGAAATCATTAATGGAAAAGATTTTATTGCAGAACCACTGCCAGAGCAGTAAGTTAGTACACAATGATATGCAAGAGGAAATAATTTTGACTTGCATTACTTGTACACTATACTATATTACTATAGTAACTGCTGAAAATAATATTTCACGGTATATAGCCTTACCATGTGGACACATATAGGTATATATATATATATGTATCCTATGTATCCTATAATAGTATTTCATGCTTATTTTTAACAGTATTTATAATATAATATATTAGTTCAAACAGTTTATAATAATACTATACATATTGAAAGACTTTTATTTTTAAACCCATTATTTTTACCTATTGACACTAATTCTTTGATTTATATTCTACATAATACATATTCATATTACTCACCAGTTACTTAAATACATTCTCAAATCTTATAATTATATAGAATTGATAATATATTAATTCTTTTTAATATATATATACAAATTATACTTATCTTAAAGGTGGCCTAGGCCTGTAAAATAACAATAAAATAAAATTGTTCAACCGTAATATATTCTTTGAAATGTGTCACAATCCGCGCGACACATTGGACACCGTTTTGGGTATTGCTCATTGAGAATTGAGACACATGTTTCACATATCCATGCGTGTCCACATGGTAAGGCTATGTACTGTGAAATATTATTTTCAGCAGTTTCTATAGTACAAGTAATGCAAGTCGAAATTGTTTCTTCTTGCATATCATTGTGTACTAACTGCTCTGGCAGTGGTTCTGCAATAATATCTTCTCCATTAATGATTTCTGGATTTCCAATATCTTGGATTTCAATGTCCAATGCCCAACGTCTTAGCCTTTCTTCGTATGATGTGCAAGAATAAGAACATTTTACCAAAAACTGCCAACTACTTATTATTCCTGCATCATATTGCTCGGTTGCCATTTTAATACGCTTCGAGTTCATTATAAATTTTGATTTTAAATTTCTAGTTGGCTGTAATCCATTTTCTAGCTGTCTAACAATATTGTGATAATTTTGGCTTAGTCCACATAATTCATCTAAACAAAATTTAGTATAATTAGTAATTAGTTAATATATAGGTACTCAAAATGTTAAGATCAAATACATTGTATATAAATAAACAAGGCTGGGCAAGTTAATGATTTTTTTGAACTCAGTTAAGTTAAGTTAATATGCACCAACCAATAACAAAAAGTTAAAAGTTAATTTAACTATAGGTTAATTCAGTTAAGTTGAAAGTTAATACACATTTTTTGTTAACTTTTTATTAAATTAAAAAAAAGTTAATTTGTTTATACAACGCTAGCATACTTANGCACCAAAAACAGGTGAACAAATATGTGAGTTTTTTTTTTTGGTAGATAAATTGTATAAAGTATTAAAACTCTTGCGCAAAATATATTCATATGTATCAAATTAAATATGCCTAAATTTTAAACAGATGTATAACAGTTGGTACAATTGTCCTAAATCCTAATACAATAATTTGAAGAAGTTTTCAAAAAAAAATACATTAAAATGTCATCGTGTTTATAATATACAATGAGACACCTCAAAATATTCAATCATTTTCGGATAATAATTGAAAAACAATACGTTTTTGATAATTGTATTGATATTTTCAATTTGCTATTATGGTAGAATTATAATTCCTTTAGAATATATTTTATACTAATTACCTGTAGCAGTTCGAAATTTAAGAAAATTGCATTACTTTAATTGATGGTAACTCTTTTAGTTGCTAAAATATCCCATATACTTTACATGTTTAAAGTTGATGTTTCGAACTATAGCTTAGTATACCCATTTTTCAATAGTGCATATAATATTTCATTATTATTATACGGATAATACCGTTTTTTCAGTCAGAAACACTAAGATTGAGAGCAAATTAAAATTCTTAGATCAAAATACCATAGATTGTTTTATGGAGTTTATGTACTGTAAATTCAACACATTTAAATGATTGTTCACTGTTATGAATAAACAGCATTTAAAATATATTCTTACATTATAATATCTATATGTTGACATAAGTTTAGAGAACAGCAATAGTGATATAATTACCATTTTTAACTCTTAAAAATACCTGTGTAACTCAATACCTAGAAATAAAGACGTTCAAACATACTTCTTTAAAATGAAAAGAAGTCTATAGTTAAGCTCACATTTCAATGTTAACACTAGATAACACCAGGTATATTTCACTCAATAAAAAAGGGATAAGTTACATATTGCAACTAGACAGCAATCATTTAACACAACCCTTGTCGATCAATATAAACAATGTAGAAATAAATTAACATAAAGAATTCAATAAACAGAAACTTGAATTTTATGGTGAAATTGTAAAAAAATTAAACAGTAGAAATCCAAAAAATTTACGATCGACCATAAAGGAAAAATTTTAAAATAATATACAAATACCTCAATACACGATTCAAGCACCAATCCCTTTCTAGAAGCTATAACCCTTTTAATACATATTTCACTATTATGGTGAATTAAAATCCTGTAATAGATACTAACTCAATTACTAATGAAAATATACCCTTAATTAAACCCAGCTATTACCAATCACTATATCTTAGAAAAAAAGCGGGTAATTGGATGTCGCTCTGCTGTACATTAAGTATTTAAGAGGTCGCTGTAATAGATGGTATTAAATTTGAATTCAATGATATCAAATCTGAGCGAAGACGGTATTTCAGCTGAGGATATTTTTATTTTTATTATTTATTATTAATATGGTAGATCTATAGCCCTTAAGTAATTTAAAATTATTCTTAAATTATCAGTGATACTGGAAAAATATTAAATAAACCTATGTACAATTGGGCTCTTTTCGAAACGAATTACAACAAAATGATAAACGTTATTCTTTGTGTTAATATGCAATTGTGTAATATATTCAAATTTGAACTTAAATGTCTTTATAAAATAACTGTATTCATATATTTTTTTAATTTCTTTATTATGGAAAAAACTGCTTAAGTTGGAGTTGTTTTAAATTTTCAATCCTTAACTAAAAAAATTGAAAATTGTATACATTTTTAACCACAAAATCATTTTCTATTTTCAATTTGATAAATATTGTCAAACCATATTGTGAACCATAAATGCTTATACAAAAAATTGTTCCTATGTATTTTTAATATTTTTCAACTGCTAATTACAATAAGTTATCAAGAGTCTTGTATGATATTGTCATTCTTTTTTACCAATAAAATTGTATTGACATTTATAGAAAAAAAAAATGAAAAAAAAAATGAAAATTTAAAATATCCGTCAACAGTTTAAAACGAGTGAAAATATTTTGAATATTTTATCAAGTTTATAAATTGATGACATTTGGTGTAAATTTCAAGTGTCTACAGTAATTCGTTTTTGAATTACAACAAATTAAATAAGAAGACTGCTACAAGAGAAATCGTCAAATCCAGTGAATATTCAATGTTGTAAAGATGTCAACTTAAAACGCTCATAAAAATTTAATTTGACTTTCTGGTAGAAATTTTTCTTTTGATAAAGGTATATAAGCTTGTGAAAAATCTTATTTTAAATTTTTAAATCTTAGATATAAACAAAAAAATTGTTATGAATTTCTAACTAAATATAATTTGCTCATTTTCATGATTTTTTACGAATTTTATCAAAATTCTAAATTTAAACCCTCATAAAAATTATATTGGATTTATGCTCATTTTTTTTTAATTTCCACTAACAACAACTTACAAGGAGCCTTGTATTACATTTTCAAGTTTTTAATCAAGTTAAAATGTATTTATCGACTCGAGTTAAAAAAAAACAAATAATATGCGGCAATTTCATATGTCTATAAATGTTTCAACGCAAATCAAAATATTTTGAAAATTTTAACACAAATATTCAGTGAAACCATAGATGAAAAACTGTGATAACAGACACATACAAAACAAAAATAATAAATAAGTATAAAAATACACATCATTGCAAAATCAATACATCCACTCATAAATCGCTTCGCTCAGAATCTAAAATAATTAAACTACAAATTCTTGAAATGACTTCTGACATGAGAGGTGATTCATCCCCGAGTTAAGATAGAATTTCAACAAATTAATTAAAAAAATAAAGGAATATATTGCCGATATTCTGGTATATATTTTTAACAACATTTTAGTCGAAAGCAGTTTGCTAGATTCCTTCAAAATAACTATAGTAAGTTCTACATATAAAGAAGGTAATAAATCACTTATTTCAAATCATAGACCAATTATTCACCAATTATAGACATTAATAATATCTTTGATAAATGTTTTCTCTAAAATATTCGAAAGAGCCATATGCTGTCTCCTAATACCTAAAAAAAATGTTATCTTTCTATCATCGCAATATGGTTTTAGAAAAATTATTTTGACGGAAGATGCTCCAGCACAACTCTCTAGAAACATATATACAAATATTGAAAAAAATAAAAACCCTTAGGTATCACTATGTTACGGACCTAAGTAAAGCTTTTGATAGTATCTCTCATAATCGCAACTACTAAATATTTTCAAATCAATAGGCATAGTTAATACATCATTATTTTAATCTATACTTAAATCATATTAACAAGATAGAAAACAAGATGTCAAAATCACAAATAATCTGAGCAATGAATTGGAAATTGATAATGGTGTCCCACAAGGCACTGTACTATCTCCCATTCTGTATATTATATATGTAACTGCGTTAGGAAACTTAAAATAACACGGTAAATCTTTTTCTCACGCTGACGATATGGCTTTAATTACATCTGATATCAATTGGGAAAAGGGTACTCAAAATGTAGAGTCATAGATGTAAAAAATAAACGATTGGTTTCTAAAACATAATCTGAGGTTGAACTTCAGCAAAAATAAGTACATAGCTTTCTCTAAAGACAAAAAAACTTGACCTAAATACCTACTGCCGCATTTCCCTAAACATAATCCTGCAATGCAGTCAATTTATTAATATAAAAATGGTTTGGCAAATAATTGTCAAATAAAATGGGCTTTCGTCGGTCACGCATCCATCACTCACGCTCGTCTATTAAGTACTTATAACATTATTTAACAGTCTATGTATTTTAATCATCTCAAATTTAATTTGAAATATTAATACAATCCGGTCATTCGGTTGCGACGGCTGCCGCTTGGCCCATGTACGCATATATATATACTCAGATATACCTGCAGGTACACATACCAATACTACACTGTATATATTATCAACGTGCGTGTATGTGGTGTGTATATGCGTACACGCATACATATACCTATATCTATATATTGTACACTCGTTGAACAAATGAAGTGCGAAAGAGCCCGCGAAACCGTTATTATTATTTTTGTACGAACTGTTGGCGGTCGGGGGTGGTGTGCGTCGGGAAGAAGGGTGGAGTGGGGTTTGCGCTTGACATTTCATTAATTCCGGGGCACGGCAGTCTGTTCGTGTCACGGGGAGAATAGTATATATGTACGCGAGTACGTTTACGTGATAGGGGAAGGGAAAACGCGTGCGTGTGTTTGTGTACGACGAGTGGGGGGAGTGAATAAAGGGGTGGTGGAAAACAAAAAAAAAATATATATATATAGACTGCGGCGGGCTTACAGTTCGCTGTATGTATAAAGTTTATTTTTTCGTAGAAAAAGCCCGCGTTATAAGCACTTGACGGTCCAAAACATTGTTTAGACCCCAAGTGCAAGATTAATCAACGTCTGTTTGTTTTTCTTTGGCCTCATCCAACCCTGGCTGGACCCCTCCCTTTCGGCCGGAGACCACCCACCCTTCCTTTTTACGGTCGTCGTGATAATAATATAATACCGTAGTAGAATTCGCTCTGGTAAATGATTATGTATTGTTAGTAGCCAGGGGAAAAAAATAACCTCAGGTCTCTACCGCCATTTTAACTTCTGTATATGGGACGTCATTATTTTACTTTTCGTGGTTTAAAATAAAACGAAAAACAAAAAACACCTTGAATAATACAGAGTGCACATTTTAATTTAAATGCGTACAGTTTATGCAGTGTCCAAAAAGTAACTGCAGTATAATA